ATTATTCTCATATGCTTTTTTTTTATCAAAGGTGATGTTTAAATTGAAGATTATAAATTGATGAAAAAGGAAGGAATTAAATGGAATGAAATGAAGGGTATATTGAAACATGGAATTAGATGAAAAGCAATATTGAAACAAATTGTGATTTATTTTTAGAAGATATACTCGTCACCCTATTTATCCCTTAAATTCGGCCTTATCTCACTTTAGACCGTTTCTTTTTTTTTTTCATAGGTGAAATAAAAAATGTCATAGGTGAAAATTGATTTTTGTTTAAAGTTTATAATTTTTCATCATGTTATTTCATGTATAAATTGTGGTTGATCCAAATTTTTTCCCAAGGTTCATAAGTGAAACCAAAAAGTTAATTACGGTTTTTATGGTAATGTGTTTTAAAATCATAAGTAAATGTGATAATTAAAAATATTGATATCAATATATGAAAAAGACGAAAATATTCTAGTTACCACAGTTTATACTAATTAGGCAGATAACAAAAGAAGGTGGGTGTGGGTGTGGGTGTGTGTGTGTGTTTAGGGTCAGATTTAGTGGAAAACCTCAAAAAAATGAAAAACTCAGAAACACTATGATAACTGTCCATCTCGATTGTATGTATATGTCCATACAAGTAGTTTGTAAGTAATTTGTCTAGTATACAGAGGTGCATAACATGCTCAAGTGCATAAAATCAAAAAACAACTTCAGTTACTTATATGCACATGTGCATACGGTCCAGATGAATGCTTACTAGAGTGTTCTTCAGTTTTTCATTTTTTAAGGTTTTCCCTTGAACCATCATATATGTACATACACACACACACACACACATATATATAGGATAATCAAACTAGTGGTGTACCCGCGCATCACAATTTTGAAACATTAGTTTAGCCTTGAATCATGAGTTTGTTTGATTATTTTGCAAGTCAACTAATATATAAAGTTGAAGGTTAATATGGTGTATTAGCAAGATGGAAAGGTAAAATAATTCCACATGTATTGGGTTTCTAAACCCATATACTCAGAAGTCATTACAAAACTTGAAATTCTTGACTGAACAAAGAAATACAATCATTTGTAAATAATGTTCATCCGTATATCCAAACTGTTGTTTAGTTTTCATGATACACCCATCCGTAAATATTTCCTAAAAAATGGCGCAATGATTTTAATAGAAACATATGTTACCAAATGTGTAGTAATATAATTGTTGATTATACCTTATTCATCACGTAGAACTTCTTGATATGTAGACTCCGACACGATTGAATATTTTCACAGGCTTCACCAACACCTTCGTATTGCCCCGTGATATCCTTCTGGACAATGCCACGTGAAGTTGCCCGTATGAGAATACTTATTCCGATAGATAAACACCTACATTCGGAATTGTTTGGCTTTGAGCTTTATTGATTGTTATAGAATAGCTAAGCCGAATTGGAAACTGTTTTCTCTTTAACTTAAATGGGAACATGTTGTATTCGAACGGACATAAGAGAATTCTTGGAAGGAAATACTCTCTTTCCAGCATGCTGACCAACAGCTATTTCTGCATCGATGACGTTTTGTTGAAAGCCTCTGCATATTAATCTATTGCCATTACATAATCAATTCGAGGGATCAATATTTCGTAACAATATTATGGGGAATCCAATCTTGAGACGAAGGTAATGAGAAGTCAAACCATTAACGGTTAAAGAGTTTAAGAACTCCATCGGATAGATGTTATTTTTATCATCTTCTGCTTCGTTGAAGCTGTATTATATTTTTTTATCTCCAAGAAAACTTGTCTATCAACTGATCATTAATCTCATCGACATTCTCATTTTTAGTTGATAATACCGCCCTCAAAATGATATAATGCGAATCAGCTCCGTTGATTTGCAGAGATGGAAATATTGCATCAATCAACGCATCTTTTGACTTACCTTTATCAGTATAGGGAACAGTCATGTATTCCGATATGCGAATAAAGCTTTCGTCCACCGCTTCTTTATCTCCATCACCGACTCTTAATAAAAAAAATCTGAAAACCACGGATTAGTGCATGCTCTCATATTGACCGTTAACCGTATCTTTTTAATCGTTGACCAAAGAGGTGACATCCGTAAGTTAGAATCTAGAATCTGTGCTCGGGTTCCATGCCTCACGACTGGTAATACTTGTCTAAAATCACCCCTAAAACCATTGTCTTTCCGTTGAATGGGAGTGTCACCCCTATAACATCTTATATTGTTCGATCGAGGGTCTCTACCGCTTGCTTGCCTCTTTGCCATCAACGCTTCGTCCCAAATGATTATTTTTGCATCTTGAATCAACTGAGCAACTCAACTTTGTTTTTTTGTGTTGCACATTGAGTTACTATGAAGGTTGAGAGGAATTTTGAATCTAGAGTGAGATGTTCTCCCTCCAGGCATATTATTGGCAGCAACACCCGACAAGCGGTTGCGAGAGTAATAAGACCACGTGAACGGATGTTGGCAAGCAAATTTTTGTACAAAAATGTCCTCCCGGTTCCACTAGGACCATCTATAAAGAACACTCATGGACAATCATCGTCTACATGCTTCATGATTTCACCATATGCGTATTTCTGGTCCGAATTGAGAGAGTCTCGGACATGCAAGTGTTCGTCTTCCATAACTATAGAGCCTTCCTCTTGTACCTCACAAAATTCTTCAGATTGAAAATTGGCATTTGCATCTACCGTTGGAAGATCGAAATCATCAAGACACTTATCCATAGATTGTAGAAAAACGAGGATATCAATTAGAAACATATTACGGAATCTACTACCCACCAACTTCATGAAAGGATGTATGCTCATGAATAGACGTTTGTACTATTCACTGTAGCAAAGAACAAGTCTTTCTCTAAAGGCTTGACGTGTGTTCAAACCCTACTGCATTACATTAAATGTGCATTTGATGCAATGGGTATAAATAGATGTGTTTTATCTCTATGTAGAGATACACACTTACTCTTTGTAAGTTGTATGTTATACCCACGACACGTGTCACCCAGATACACTGCCAACGAGCCATGTAAACCTAAAGGGTCGCACACAAAGAACACGTATGCTTCCACTAAAAAAAGAATCTAAACATGTGTACCATTTTGTGATTATTATAATTACAGGGTTTAATCTATAAATATGTATATAATCACGGGGTAAATGTTTTTAGATAATTATATAAGATATTATTAGATAAATAAATAATCATTTTAGATAATGATTAAGCTTTATTAAGAGTTATGGTCAATCTCGAAAACTGACCATATAAATAAGGCTTAGGGGCTAAACCAAAGTAGACGATTGAGTTCTGATAACTAGTTGTAGCCTCAAAATCCTTATGGTACAATTATAGAATTATGATTCTTTGGGATAGCACCCGGTGGGAGTTCCAAGCGTGTTCGTGTGTGGACAACCGATATAGGAAACCTGATTTGGTTTCTTAGTGGTACATCAAAGTTTTAATTTCAACCACAAGGTAAATATTTTAAACATCCTATGGTTTGTGTAGATTCGTTTTAATTGTCAATGGATCCGGCTTTGGGTTTTATTTAGAAATTTTTTCTAAACGTTTTTGTAACAGGGTTCTGTTTTTCCGCTGCGTTTTATCCGGTTATTTTCGCAAACTAAAACCCAACACTCTTGAACCCTAACTTATGTTCATACGTAAAAGAACACACATCTAATAACACAATACGCTTATCTTCAAAAGTAAGTTAGAATCCCTTTTTAGTATTCTAAATAGTTCTTACGCAGAAAGAACTTATTTTCTTCTAAGTCTTAAACAGCAAATCATTTCTCTTTGCTAAGATATAGTGTGTAACTTAGATTGTTTAGATAGGTTATCTTTACCTTATCTTTCCGCAAACAATCTTGTAAAATTTGTATTGATCATTCTTTATCAATATACATTTTAAATTTGTAAAGTTTACTGTGTTTGTATTCATCCCCCCCCCCTCTACAAACTGTTATACACATCTTGTAGACCCTAACGAGACCAACAGTATTCATCCATCCCTTCTATAAACGGTTACCTTTAAACTCTTGTAGATTCGGTTGGGACTAACATTGAAAAATCGGGATGTAAACTAAAACTGGGATGTAGTTATGTGCCCCCCTTGAGCCGGGGTTTATACCGCAAGAAATGAATCAATGTTCTCCGGATCAAAAGAAATGTGAACAAAAATAAAATACGATGCAAAAAATTAGAACCAACCTGTAATCTTCAAAATAACGTAGAATGAACCATAAGGATTAACATAAAATCTTGTCTTTAAAGGTTTCGATGATACCCCTAAGTCGTGAGTGTGTCAATCACTTAGGCCCATGATTTGACGTAGTATTTATTAATCACCAACAACGATGGTGATCGATTAAGCAAACATAATGCAAGTCCGTTCTTGATATTATATACGTCATGGGCGAGATGTAAAAAACGACTCTCAATCGTTGATTATTCGAAGTAACACTCTATGTAAACCAATATAAATCAGTTGAGTTTCCATCTCATCTCATGTTAATGTTTTTCATCACAGTTTTAAACTTTTAGGATTAAAACAAACTTTTGCGAAACCATCAATCTTAAAATTAAAAGTCCATGTTGGTTATAGTTTGAGATCTTATTCTTATTTTATAGATACTTAAAATTCAAGCAACTCGATATTACGTAACAAGAAATCAATAATGTAAGAAAAACTAGAATATGTTAGAAAATTCAAGAAACATCAACCGGAAAATTGAAAAAAGTGCCTCGAAATCCACTGAAAAAGTTTCTCGAAATCAACCGGAAAAATCCCTCGAAATCAACCAGAAAACTTTAAAATACCTTCAAAATTGTAAAATTCAGCTAAAAGCACATCAAAAATCCTGGGTTGCCAAACCCTACCATTAAATAGTTTTGATTTCTTATTGAAAATGAAAGATGGCTGATGATCAACAAGGAAACAAAAATGATATGAATAATGTCTCAACGAAGAACAATTTACAGAAGATATAAGAAGACGAATCATAATATGAACATACTTGATCGACAACTACAATCACAACAATAATGCTATCGATAAATTATATTTCTCAAGTTCACGTCTTTCATTTCTCTACAATATGTTTTCTTCCTTTGGTACTATACAATTCAATAACCTCAATTGTGCTCAACCTTTTCCGATCGAACCTAATTGTAGTCTGCTTCTGAATGGTCCTGCCGGGATTGTTCTATTATATAGTTCCAAGCAAGCAGTGCTGCTCCGACCGCAGGCTCCACCTGAACACATAAACACATAATCTTGAACAGGAAATTCCGCACAAATGCATAATAAATGGCCACACGAACAGTTTAACCATTAAAAGTGTGTTCAAACAGCGAAAGAAAAAGAGATGCCGAAAATATTGTAAAGACCCCCCTTAGAGCTGTCCAGAATTAAGCATTCCCCCAAGTGTTGGTAAGCATTGCTTAATCTTAACGGTGTGGAAACTATACACCCTTAGGGTTCTGGTAACCTGAGTTAAGTATGTGCTTAATCCTTGCTCAAGTACATGGAATAAATCATACAGAACCTCTTAATCATTCCAACCCCACCACCACGTGCATCAAATCATTCAGTATCTATCAAACAGCCACTTAGAATCATCTGACCGCTTAGCTTAATGCATAAGCTTAATCCCTGCTAAAGTTGACAGTTAGTGCTCGGTTAAAGCTTTTTGGGACACTCAATGCCAACTTGCCGACTGCAACTAAACTCTTAAGACAACATGAATATTGATCAAGAATGAGTTCCACAAAAACATTTGGATCCAGCTAAGAAGCACATCTCAAAAATCAAAGCTAACAAATGCCAGAAAAGAAGTTTTGGGGAGTAGATGAAAAACTTGGAGCAAACTTGGGAAACCAAGTACACACAATAAATAACCTGAAATACGATGGAACAAGTATGCACAAACCTATAAAATGAAATATATAAGATATAAACCAATTTATTTTGCGGGAATTATGGTTAACCAAAGTCATGATTTGACGTTATTTACTTTCTCTTGCTATTTACCTTCATTTTCGACATGGAACGAAGAAGAAAACAAGAGGAAGTAATGAGAAGTCTTATTTCTTTATCACTCTGTTCAATAACACCCCTCCTATATTTATAGTTGAAGTAGCTACTGAATCTAATTGTCAACTACCTCACTAACAGATCGCCACATCAGTTTGCTCGTGTCTAATACTCCCCCTCAAGATGAACCAAGAGAAAATGTCTTTTGAGGGTGATCTTGGACATGGTTGAGTGGCTTGGTAAACATGTCTGTCAATTGAAATGCAATGGTGAATAGGGAGAAGCAAGAACTTCCTCTAAAATGAAATGATAATTTATTTCGACATGTTTTCTTTGTTCATGGAATAGGAGATTGGATGTATTTTGATAGCAAAAATTGTTGTCACCAAACATGGAAGCTGGGAATGAAGTAGACATGCCAAAATCATGGGGTAAATCTTCAAGTAACTGAATCACATAAATCTTTGAATTGAACTCATTTGAAGGTAGATAAAAATATTAACTGGCCTGGGTTTTTCTTGATATATTGTAACAACTTGTAAGATCAAACCAAACGAATCATGTATGTGCCACCCAGAGGTGGGAGTCTGGGGGTGGGATGTACACAACCCAGACCTCCATTCCAAAGAGTAGAATGGTTGTTTTCATGAGTATCCCCCGACATGTAAAAGTGTGTGAGAAAGAGAAAGTGTGCCCAAAAAGTTTGAAGGACTTGTAACAGTCTGCTACCTTAGTTTTGTGTGTCCAATAATTGCTATTAGAGGTCATGTCATTGACAATGGCTAAAGCCATCCTGTCCATCCTCAGTTGCTCCTATGAACGCAACCAAACCACCACAATCTTCCCTCTTCAACTTAGATATGACAGGTGCAACTCTGAACACCGCCAAGAGGACAATGTTTGGTATTCTGTCAAACATGGTCCGACCACATGTCCATCTAAGCATTGTCATTTCTGCAACTCTTAACTTCCTCTCATGGGCCTTGATAGCAAGACCTTCTTGTCGTACAACCCCCCATGGCAGCCCTACACTTTAGCCACCCATCTTTATGCAATGTGTTATGTCATCCCCCATCTCCCCCCTTCTGAACCATGAAGTCTAAATACTTGAAAAACTGTCCATTTGGAGAACCCTTTGTCCCTCAATGTCAGACTTTAACCCCCTCATCAATACACTTCCCGTTGACATTGCACCACCTATAGGGGTCCTCGCAAGTCATTGATCGTCCGTAAATAATTTGAATCTCCCTGACATGCCTCCATGGTACTCCCTCTACATTGAGCTAACTAATTGTCAACTACCTCATTAACTACCACTAATGCCAACTTGCCAAATCAGTTCCACGTTTAAGTTGCCATTTTCTTTGTTACTTCTTCAATCCCATGAAAGTTGTAGCTAGACACATAGTTCTAGGACTGTCTATTAGAATAAGATAATGTTGTGGCCCAACTAGGCTTTATAAAACATGAGACTTGCTCAAGGATAACCTAAATGTCATGAATTTGAATATCTCGTTTGTGTTTTACCAATGAACTACTAAGAGTGCATCAATAGGAAGGACACAGAAGTTTCACCCTCTCGTATTCTAAAAAGATAGGGTAAATTGATAGCAGCAGGACCCTTTAGAAATATTATAGGAGGAAAAAACAAGAAGGAAGAGGAGATATATTAGAATAGAAGAGATATGGTGGAAGCTTTTACTCACCATTATCTCTTATCCATTAGTTATAATTATCATTATCTCTTAGCTTCCTTATCCAACCCCAACTAGGTTTTATTTTGCAGTTTCCTTTCTACTTTCCTAGGTATTTCGTATAAAGAATAGGTTATGAAGTTTGTTATAGGCATCTTATTTTATTGAAGATTTTCTGTTTAGATTCTGCAGGTGTCTTCAGTAAGATTAATTATTTTTTTATGTTTTTATCCTGGTGGGTCTTTATCATTGGTATCAGAGCAGGATTCATCGGACATGGCAAACACCAGAAATTCAGCTTCCAATACACAGAATGAGCGCAACTCCGATGTTGTGGGTCAACAACTATCGTCCATTGCTTCTCGACTTGAAGCCCTGGCTGCTGATGTTGCAGTTCTTAAAGCACGGACAACCAAAAGAACCGGAGAGGACGCAGAAACTGCATCAGGTCACCAGCATCCCCCGAGGAGACCTAATATGAAGAATTGAAGATCGAGTTCCCCAAATTCGAAGGAGGGGATCCTCGCGGATGGATCCTTCAGGCGGAGAAATACTTCTGTTATTACCAAACTCCAGAGGAATTAAAGGTCGAAGTGGCTTCAATGTATTTGGAAGATGATGCACTCAATTTTTATGCATGGATCAACAGTGTCCATACCTTTTTTTGTTGGGGAGATTTGGTGAGAGCTTTACAAGATAATTATGGCCTAGTAGCATTTCGCAACCTGGATGAACACTTATGCAACATCAAACAAATGGGAACGGTGCAAGGATATAGGCAAGAATTCGCTAAAAGGGCTTCTCGCATTCACAATTGGCCAGAGCATTGCCTTTTAGGGGTTTTTCAAAATGGGTTGAAGGAGGACCTGAAAATAGATGTCAGAATTCATAAACCTAACAGTGTCTACAAGGCTATGAGCGCTGCTCTTGAGTTTGAAGCAAATCATGAACCCGTGGACAAAAAGGGCCAAATTCATTTACTTTCAGCAAACCTAGAACTCCTTTTTCATCTTCGGCGCCTTATCAACGTCTTCCTAACCCCAATCCATGAAATTCGTGCCCGGCTACCCAAAAGACAGAACCAACAGTACAATCAGAAACTTGGGATGCAGAAAGGCAATCCCGCCGTGACAAAGGCCTCTGTTTCCGATGCAATGAGAAATTTGCACCGGGTCAACGATGTAAACAATCCACTTTCTTCCTGTTAGAGATCGCCAATGGAGAAGAGCAAACTGCAGATCAAGACAATGATCATAAACAAGACGAAGATCTGGCAGAAATTTCATTCCATACGATTCTGGGACTAACATAGGTAGCAACCATGAAAGCTGCAAGCAACCCTTTCGAAAAAGCAAGTGATTTTGTTAGCGTCTTTTTCAATCACTATCCAAATTAACTCCAGATCGGATTGATAATTTTGGTTGACAGTGGTTCTATCCATAATATAATTTCATCTTCTGTGGTTAAAGAGTTGGATTGACAACAGAGCAATCCCTAATTTTGGAGTACAAATCGGAGATGGCAAAATTATTTGATGCAATAAATCGGTCATAATTTACCCATATAGAAATCATTAGACTATCACCCATTCTCCATCAAGGGTGCAGATGTTGTCTTGTGGATTAAGTGGCTGGCTTCCTTGAGTACTGTTTGTGATTTTCTATGTGAATGGAAAAAGGTACAAGTTACAAGGAATTCCAACCGTGGCAGAGTCTCTCTCCATTCTTATGCCAAAATAGAGAAAACATCAGATGACCCAGCTCTCTCTCAGGAGACATACAGTTACTGCTCTCATATTATCAGCATATTTTTTCTGCAATGGCCACTTTACCTCCAATTCAAAGCCACTCGCATGCTATTCCACTGTTACCTAACCCTCCAAACATTAGGCCATATCGCTACCCGTATTTCCAAAAAACCGAGATCGAAAACCATGTTCAAGAATTGTTAACATTGGGATTTATACGCCCTAGTGCAAGCCCAGTGTTGCTGGTCAAGAAAAAAGCTACGCTGTTAATATCGCGATATATCGTCCATATATCGGCGATATATCGGATATCGGACCTAGGCAAAATATCGCTGCATAAATATCGGTCAAAATATCGTCCCCGATATTATCGGTGATATTTTCCGATTTTTCCCGATATTTAGCGATATTTTGATGTATATATCGATCTTTTAGGGTTCCATTATTTGGGTTTTTGTTATTTCATGGGCTTAGTTTTTTGGGCTTGGTTACATATATTATTAGGTCTGAAATTAATAGTCTGCCTTCCAACGGTCTTCTTCCTTTCTTTTCATCTTTACGACTTCACACTTCACAGACACCTAGTTCAACTTCACGAATCACGACTTCAGACTTCTTACAACTTCAGACTTCTCACGAATCAAGTGAATGTATTGGATGATGTTGACTCGGATGCCGAACCTATTGCTTGCGATTAGCTCGTTTTTGAACACTTTAGATGATGTGATGTTTTAATTTTGAAACTATATTTCTAAACTCTAATTAATGCATATTATATATATAATTCTAAGAAATATTATGTTAACCGCTATTTTGGACCGATATATCACTGATATATCACCGATATAACCGATATATCGAATATCGGTCCTGACCGATATTTTGTATTCTGACCGATATAACAGCATAGGAAAAAAGACAATCCATGGGGGGTCTGTGTTGATTACAGAGAGCTAAATCATCTCACAATCCCAAAAAAGTATCCTATACCCAACATCAACGAACTCCTTGATGAACTACATGATGCAACCATCTTTTCAAAAATTGACCTCAAATCCGGGTACCACCAGATTCGTATGCACCCCCCTGATGTATACAAAACAACCTTTCAAACCCACTCAGGCTATTAGGAGGTTCTTGTTATGCCTTTGGCCTACCAAATGCACCATCCACATTCAAATATACCATGAATGATCTGTTCCGTCCTTTCCTTCGCAAATTTATTTTGGTGTTATTTGACGGACATTTTAATATACAGCCCCAACCTCGAAGCTCATCTAAACCACCTCCAAAGCATGCTTGAACTACTACAGGCGCACTTATACTATGCCAATGCCAAAATTGTTCATTTGGGCATCCTCATATTAGCTTTTTGGGGCATATGGTTTCTCGAGAAGGCGTGAGAGTCGATCCAGAGAAGGTTCAAACTGTAATGGAATGGCCTGAACCCCGTAATGTCAAAGAGCTTCGTGGGTTCCTTGGTTTGACAGGATATTATGGTCGATTTGTCAAAAATTATGGTTCAATAGCAAAACCCTTGACGGATTTAACCAAGAAAAATGGTTTTCTATGGAACCCTCAAGATGAATCAGCCTTCAATGACTTGCTTGCATTAACAATGGTCCCTGTATGCCAACTACCGAATTTTTGTCTACCCTTCACAGTTGAATGTGATGCTTCATCAGCTGATGCTGGAGCAATTCTACTACAATCAAATCATCCTACTGCATTTTTTAGCAAAGGCTTATCCTTTTCTAACCGTTTAAAGTCGGCATATGATAAGAGAATTATTGGCCTTGCAAAAGTGGCAACATTATTTATTGGGAAAACCTTTTTTTTGTGAAATGTGACCACTGCAACCTCAAACACCTACTTACTTAAAGAGTGACCACTGGCGAACAAGGTCTCCTTATGAACTTATCTCCCTTTGACTTCATCATTGTCTATAAAGCAGGAAGAGAAAATCAAGGGGATGATTCACTATCAAGAAGACCTCAACATGCTGAATTTTTAGCTATTGCTTTGCCGGTCAACATGGATTTTGTAGACCTCCAAAAAGCCTTGCTAAAGGACCAGTACACAAGGGATATTATCGCCTCTATCAGACAAGACCTGACGACACATCCTGGTTTTAGTTTCACTGCTAACAAATTGTTTTATGAGAGTCGTCTTGTCATCCCAAAGGACGGAGTGTTACGCCAGAAACTTCTAGTAGACTGTCATGATTCCTTGACCGGACGCCATGGAGGTTACCTCAAAACTCTAAAGCGTCTAACAGAGAATTTCTTTGGCCACACGTGAAGAAAGATCTTAAAAAGCATGTGCAAAATCGCTCAACTTGCTAGCAAAATAAGTATGAGATACTCTCTCCTGCCGGTCGTCTTCAACCACTACCGGTTCCAGAACGTGTTTGGGAAGACATATCACTGGATTTTATCATGGGCCTTCCTAAATCAAGTGGTTTTGACACCATTCTATTCGTATGGATCGACTTAGCAAGTACAATCATTTAGTTCATATCGCCCATCCTTTCAAGGCAAAAAACAATTGCAGCGGTGTTTTACAAAGAGGTTGTTTGGTTGCACGGTATTCCTCGTTCCATTCTATCCAATAGAGATGCTACTTTTCTTATCAATTTCTGGAAGTAACTGTTTTGTCAGTATCATCCGCAATCTAATGCACAAACTGTAGTAAGTCGTTGTCTTGAAGCCTACTTAAGGTGCTTTGCCCATGAAAAGCCTTCTTCTTGGAGTACTTTTTTGGCCTGGGATGAATAATCTTTCAACATTGGGTTTCACACATCTACAGGCATGACTCCCTTCAAAATCATGTATGGTCGTGACCCGCCGACTCTTCACATATGTTACGAGTGATGTGAGAATCAAAATGTTGCTTTAGAAGAGCAACTGATAGCCAGGGATGACATGTTGAAACTCCTTCAAGAAAACCTTCTCAAAGCGCAGTCTCGCATGAAGGCTCAAGCCGACTCCAAGCAACGTGAGTTATCCTTCGAGGTAGGCGACACTACCTTCCTTAGAATTCAGCCATTTCAACAAAGATCTTTGGCCAAACAAAGGTATGAAAAACCTTCTCCGTGTTTTTTTGGCCCATACACTATTATTCGTCGCGTGGGACCAGTTGCATATGAACTAGCCTTACTAGAAGACTCAAAAATACACCTTGTTTTTCATGTATCCTTGCTGCAACCGCCTAATGGTAGATCCCCATCTACTCCCTCTCCGGCACTACCTATCTCAGCTGATTGGGAACAAGTTTTGGTCTCGGAAAAAGTTTTAGCTCACCGCTGGGTAACTGAGTCTCTCGGTCTAGTACTCCTATGTGTTGTAATTATTGGTGAAATGGCAGCAAGCACAACCGATGAGGCAACCTGGGAAATTTACGACCTGCTATATTGGCAATTTCCAACATTTCGCCTTGAGGACAAGGCGAGTTTTCAGGGAGGGAGTAGTGATAGCAGCAGGACTCTTCAGAAATATTGTAGGAGGAAAAAACAAGAAGGAAATTAGAATAAAAGAGATGGTGGAAGTTTTTACTCACCATCATTAGTTTTAATTACCTTATCTCTTAGCTTCCTTATCCTACCCCAACTAGGTTTTCTTTTGTAGTTTCCTTTTTACGTTCCCTAAGTATTTAATATAAATAATAGGTTATGAAGTTTGTTTTAGGCATCTTGAATATTTTATGCAATTTACTTTGAGTTTAGTCTTCTTTGTGAACCTTTATTTTATTCAAGATTCTCTGTTAAGATTCTGCAAATGTGTTCGGTAAGATTAATTATTTTTTCTGCTTTTATCCTGGTAGGTTTTTATGAGTAATCTTCTGAACCATATCCATTATCAATTACTAACGATAACAGTAGGAAGATAACAAAATATGACATTTTTGTATGACAACCCAAAATGGATGTTTTTGGCCTTCTTGGTATGCAAAAGGTTATATATACTTGCAATATCCAATATGCATTAATAGGCACTTGGATAGTACCCTTATCTATTCCATGTTATTAGAGATGACTCTATGTCAATTTTCAATCACAATTGCGCTTATTGGCTTGAATTTAAGTGCAGTTATGTCACTAAGACAAGAGGTGTAATTAAAGACATAACTCATAATCAATAAAGAGGCCAACACAACATCATAATTAAAAGATTATGGATTATGCTTACCTTTGGCCTAATTGGGAGCATCCCAGGGAAGTCTTTGGCAATGCAACTAATAACTTCTTTTCCAATGTCCCACCTCCTATTCGCTTCAAGAACACCACCAACCATAACGAGAGGGAAAGTATCATTTCCATCTGCCAAGGTAACATAAACTAGAAATTTAACTATAAAGGTCAAAGACATCTGAATTAAGCTATTTAACTTGCAACATAAACAAGTGAGAGAAAACCAGACCAATGTCCGTTGAAAACGAAATTAATAAACAAGTAAACGACCCATATTCCAGAGATAAGTTAGTTCTAGATGATGCTTACTCACTCAAGTCTATCTGACTGAAAATAAGCATGAAAATCTAATCCCCTTCCACCCTACTTATACAAGCTGTTGAAAATGAAAATACCGAAATTGATCTATCTTAGTTGACTATAAACTCATGCTTACAATAGACCAACACTAACACTGGTTAAGGCCTAACATTACTCCCCCTTCTACTAAGAGTGAGACACCTCTAAAAAATTGTTGTATGAAGCCGAATGGTTCCAACAGTTAGATCAATGCTTATTGTTGCATTCACTTTTAGGGTGTGGTTTAATTGAAGTCTGACCATAGAGTTGTGCGAGACAACAACCATATCCAAATCAATCCACCAACCATGATAGGTAAGTGTAACTGGTCAAATCAATCCACCAACAGATTCAGTCCTTTAACCGGTCCAACATCCACTTTTTCTAACTAGCCATTATTAACGGTGGTCGTAATTGGTCATGCTCTGACCAGGATTTCCTTACCCAGGCCGGTTTCAAGTTTCGTACCCATTTGAACTTCTGTAGTCACTGGGTGTTTTGTCGCTCGGTTCTTAATGTTATCAAGGAAATAGTTCATTTAAAAATAATGTTATTAAAGAAATAGTTAATATTTAACAATAATATATATATATATATATATATTAAAAATAAAAGTAAAAAACACATCAACTAAGGGACTGGTCCTGTATATTACAATCAACTATTCATTTTCCTCCGAGAGACAGGTCTGGATTGGGATGGGTTCAGGATCCATTTAGCAGCACCTTAGGATGGCATAGCATGGCGTACTCCTCCTGTTCGGGCCGACACTGACACTGAGAGACGAAAGCTAGGGGAGCATTTGTACTATATGTGCAAATCATTGCACCGTTTAACCAACACCGGCTATATCAGTTGGAGGAGTGATTGATTAACGGATTTGCCCACCTCTATTAGACCCTATATTAAGCTCAAATATAGGCATTATGAATCTTGCTAGTAATCCACTCTTGCCCATTAAGCCAACATCCTCAATTAACCCATGAACATGCCTTTGTCTTACCGACACAACCACCCAATGCCTACGTCCAATGGCCCTATGAGAAGACTCTCATCCTACCCCTATTACCCGACTACCACCTATGATGTCCAACTGTAATCACCAAGGCTCTTCAGTCACCCCAATTGTAAGCGGTACAGACAAGAGGATCTATGGTTGGGAGCATGGTTTTTGGATGGGCTCTCGTTTAGCGGCTGCTCTAGAGATAGATATTTTTGTGGTACAATGCTACTGATTTTTATTAATTATGAACCAAGGTTCAGACACACTATGACAAAACCCTAAGTTCCTATCACCTTTAATCGAAGTCTAGTGAAGTTACAATCCAGGTATGATTAACTTTTCTCTTATTTTGAAGATTCCTGTTAAATTGAACTTTGTAAATTGGCTCAATGGAGTACGTTTTGTCCAAACCGACCTTGAAAGTTTGAACAAGGATGATTAATTGATATGCACCTTTACCACACAATCCGAGTCTATGAACAACAGCTTTAACACTTGAAGCCAACTCTTTAACAGCATGAATCAATATATCATTTGCAACTTGATCACCGGCTTCTGCACATGATATCACAACAGGGACTAAAGTTGCAATGCGAGCCCAGGATGGATCGGCATAGGTCCACCTATATTCAAATGGATGAATCAGTAAGCATTATCATTTCCAAGTAGATGCACTCAAAATGATATAACATAGTTTCGAATTTTAAGAATGGCACCCCCCATGCATCAAGCAACCAACATTTTTTTCGGAAGGGTGTCCCAGGCATAGCCTGGATTAATCCCTGCCTAGCAAATTGTGATTGCAAGAAATTAGTCTTGATAAACTCAGTGGCCATGATTGTTGTGTACGCCTGGAATCGAGCCCTGGACAGATGGGATATTCCACAACATCCCCCAGGACCTCAACCACTACGTCCCAACCCTTGTGGTTAAGCAATCACCATTGCTGGAGATGGATTGACTAAACTACACAATCTACCGAACAAGAAACAACATTGGTGAATTACTTTACTGAACTCATGTTATTAAAGCATTCATATAAAACTACTAGGGCTACATGACATACATACATACATATATATATATATATATGTATATATATATGTTGTGTATAGAGAAAATTCAAATACCCAATTAGTTCATCTGGAGAAGAATATTGAAGTTCATGCAGGATGGTACGTGTGAGCATTGTTTGTGGACCACGCCCATCAGAAGCCCTTATTACTGCTGTCAAAGCCTTTGCTGCAATACCATATCCACTACAAGTAAACAGGACAGATCACATCCCACGGTCATTTGATATGCTCAACATATATAACAAAAACTTAACATGAAAGGGTACATATTATATGGGTTCATTGGGCATTGGCAGGACAGAAATAAAGAGTATACCTATCATCACACTGAACTGTCTTTGAATGTTTATAGATAGTTCCGGTTGTTAAAGCCAAGAAGTAAAGTTTGTATGTCATACCTTCCCCAATCACCTAAGATGGGTCCTGCACCAGATGCCCGAGCTTCTCTCCCATCTTCAGTATATCCATACGCAATGGTCCCTGTACCAGAAATTAGAACACACCCATGAAGCTTTCCCATGGTTCCACTAGCCAAAGCTGCCACAGAATCATTCTCAACGAAAAATTCAACATCGCTAGGGAAAATATCTCTGAGTATGGAAAGAAGATGAACAGGGTCAAAACCGAAACAACAAAAGCTAGATAGAGTCCAATAAAAGAAAGCATGTTAGTTGTTTTTGCATTTATAGAATATAGAGCAGTTAGTATGGATCAGATTCCAATTAGTATGAGCTAGCTTTGAACTTTGTGGTCTTCGTGACTTGGGCATCTCTAGCATTACCTTCAGTTTCATAGCTAGAGAGGGACACCATTAACAATCTCTCAAGAAAACAGGGATGCAATAATGCAACACAGAGAGTATATAAAGATTGCTGTATGGGTTCAAAGTTTTCTCACCTAAGCCAATCTAGAATTCGTTGTTGATCTGTTGGATGGTTAACTCCAGATACAGCTAAGCAAACCGCTCGAACAGCAGTTCTAGTTGAACCTGATTTTGAAAGAGCTTCAGCCATAACTTGTTCTAGCGTCTCCCTTGCAGCAATTTCTGTGAAGCATATGTAGAAAGGTAACCATAATAACATATATGGCACAATCTTCAACCATTGCAACTGAAATGTTCAATGGGATTGTATACAACGTAATATTTTGATATTTGGTTAACATAGTTTTGTTGCAATGCCCATTCTGAAAACTAAAATAACAGAGATGTATAACAACAAATTAGCTAGCCACATCTCTTCATGACATTCTGTGTTTTGAGAAGTGAAAGATCAATCTTGATAAACTTGTGCACATTTTGTTACCATGAGAAAACCAAACAAAAGCTAAACAACCCCAATTCTGCAAATCAGTATAACCAGAAAAGGCACAATCTTGATCCAGATATCATGACATGCATCAGAACATGCTTGTATGTTTGCATTCGATAGATAACGAAGTGAAAATCCATGTAAGCAGACAATGAGTTATACATACTTTTTCATAGTTACCAGTTTTGTCTTGTTTTCATATGCATCTCTTGTATGAAAAATGACCATTAAAGCTGAAATGTAACGATGGAAGTTAGGCAATCGCCACATTTATAGTTTGATGACAAGGTTTTCACCAGTAATAAAAATTATAACCGTAGAAAAAACAGATTGCTGCTTATATAGCTTAAGTATTTGCAAGTACTACCATCTTTATCGCTATGTGCCATATTTTAGTGCAAATCCAAACATTGCCAATGAGACAATAAAATTGCAAAATCACCCACAACCGTAGTGTTAAAGTTTCTACATCAACTAAATTAGTAGGTAGCATTGCTTCGATTCAATAACAAAATAACTGAAGTATTCAATCTGTAACACCGAGCAATGCATGAAGTATTCAATCTGTAATAAGTAGCGGGATGAATTGGTACCACCAACACTATTGTGATTGGAGCAGCCGGCGACAGCTCTGGCATAGACCGGAGGAGGATCCGGCGAATGGTGGTTTGGAGTGAAAGGGATAATGGGCATGCATATGCACACCGTATTAGTAGTCCCACCATCCAATCCCAGTATCAGCTTCTGCCCACCACCCATTTCCCCTGATACTTCTTGCTCGAAATCCCAAATTTCTCCATTTCTGTATCTCTTCATCACTACCCACCCAATTCTGCACACTATTATGGACAAACTGAACAGAAATGAAAACCCCCAATTAAACTCGATTTTGCATACAGAAACTTGAGAGTGTCTCACATATGCTTATGATTAGAGGGTAGTGTAATGAATTAAATTTTGTTGATTATAATAATCGGATTCGGACGGCAAATTGTCCAAACACTACTGGTTATCAGCTTCCAACAAAAGCAATTTTTAATGGGATTTGCCAAAAACCAAATTGGGGTGAGTGTCAAGACTGCAATATTGTAAGCTTCATAGAATAATGCAATAGAAAATTGTTTGAACAACTTCGTATTTCTATTTGATGCCCAAATGGAGGATGATGGGCGATGAGCTTCGACCTTTCAACATATAATACAACTACAACAGTGGCTGGAATATAATAAGTTTCATGGTTTTAACCATATGTAGGTGCAGTTACATGCATATGTGTTTATAATATTCAAAATTAGGAATTAGAGAGAGAAGATGATGAAGAAACTTGGGAGACTCTTCTTCGTGTCGACCATTTTTCCTTCCTTTTCTGGGAGATGTGCTCGTGACAGCATTTGCCTGGCGTTTGTCGATCCTTAACTAATTACTAAATTATTTTTATTAAAAACTAGTTTATAAACCTATAAGATAAACAGAAAACATAAGAAATAGTCAATTATAAATATATTATTATATAATTTAAATAGATTTTTAATAATATAATATGTTAATTAATATAAAACAGTAAAGAAAAATTAAATAATACAATATGTTAATCGAAAGAATTTAAAATTGATTATTATATACATATACTGTAAATTTTGAATTCGTTAAAATAAATTTTATAAAAATTTACATTGATATATGATTTTAAATAACCACTACATATAATATTAGATAACAATAAAATTGATCAACCTCACATATTTTAATTAGTTAATATTTTTTTTCCAAAATATAACTAATAATTAAGTTAAATATTTTATTAAAATTATTTAGCATATTACAATTATCCATGAAATAAATAAGTATAACTTTATATATAACTCATGTAAAAAAAATTAGAATTGTTACATTTACTTTGTAATATCTAAATATATTAAATAATAATTAATATAGTTCAAAAATCGTATCTTTTGAATTATTCTTTTAAATATATTACAGAACAAAATCTCTCGTTACTTCTTGAATTATCTTATTGGTCTTACACAATACGCAACAAGAAGGAACCATACAACACACATCCATCACTAAAGTCTCTTCATCTCATCAAGATTTGTAGTTTAAAGAGTTTATTTTAAGTAAGTTGTTTTTTATATTTCAATCTTTGTATTAATTTTTAAGGGGATTTTTAAAAAGAAAATACTTATGGTTTTTTTAATGTAAATACGAGGGGAAGGAGTACATATGTTTTGCCTGTATTAAAATTAATTAATAATGCATAGTCAAAATTAATTAATAATTTTTTAATTAATTTTAATTACTACAAATTAATATTTATGAATAACTAATATTTATTTATAATTAATAATTAGTATTAAGCAAGGTATAATTTAAAAAAGCGTAAAAAAACTCCTCATAAGCTACTTCAAATAGCTTATTAATAAATTAGTTTATGTGCAATTCAGATGATCACTCAAAAAATAATTTATGAGTTAGCTTATAAGTTACTTTATGTTTGACAAACAATATTTTTGTTAAAAAATAATTTTTACCATTTAAATATTTTTTTTCTTTGAGAATTTTAGCTAAATTAATTACGATGGATTCTTTCATGTAACACCCACAAATTCGCACATTGCATATTACACATAATTCATCCATAGAATACATGTTTTCCCCACATAGGTCTATAATATAAGAGTCAATAATGTAAAATACACAACTCAAAAATTCCAAAAATACATGCTCTTGTATCCTAGCATCTATGCTTCCAAAGCATGGCTAATCAAGATCTTCACACAGTTAAACACATAGAAAAATAATTCACATAATGTTCTTTCCCTTATTATCATTACCTGCACACATATTTTTGAAAACACAAAATGAGGGTTAGACATGAATGTCTAGTGAGGTCCCCTTTTATGTAATACAGGGTGAAGATCACCAAAACATTAATTTCAAATAATTCATCTCATGTAGCAAAAACTGAAAATCATATTCTGTTTCGGTCCATCGGGCCTCTGGTTCCAAACCATACTTGGAATATATTTTAATAAACAGGACCAGAGCCCCTCTGGTCTTTCTACCAGAGCTTCTGGTTCCTCGACCAGAGCCTCTGATTGTACTATCCAGAGCTTCTAGCTCATATCATTCCTTATAATGTTCTTTTAGTTAAGCTTTCAACCAATAAGATAGCCTTTTTCATAAAAAGAATAGTTATAAAGGGTTCATGCTCGACCAGAGCCTCTGGTTGTACTAACCAGAGCTTCTGGTTCAAAAGACATGATCAACCAGAGCCTCTGGTTCAACGTGTAAGCCAACCAGAGCCTCTCTGGTTTGTTTTTCTTAAAAGATTCTAAGTATAAAATCCTTCTTTTAAAACTTCTTAAAATATGATTTTACAGAAGCTCTTATCAATAGATACAGAGCCTCTGATCCAACTAATATGTTTAGTAGAAACTTGCATATTCCCCAATCAATAACAAAAACCCTCTGGTCCGATAACGAGGACCAACCAGAGCTCCTCTGGTTCCTCATAAAAATGACTATTTTGTTCCAACACACTTTTAATCAAAATTAATGACCATAGGCCATATTTTCCCGTAACCATAACATCAATACTATTATTTCCAATAAGAACAACATCTCTGAATTCTCAAATCACCAAGAAGAGAATGCTCAAATCTGTTGTAATCTTAATAGATATAATAACAAGAGTTATACCATGCATACACACACAACGACCATCCTTATTTCATCCATAATTCCCCCTTTATAGCAATAGCTATCCATCACATACAACGACCATCCTTATTTCCCCTGAAAATTCTTATGAACTATTTCATCCAATGACAGGCTGCAGTCATTTCTGTCAGAGTGAACCTCGCTCATAGTTTTAACCAAAATCTATRGACTATTTCATCCAATGACGGAACAAAGTCATATACGTCAGAGTGAACCTCGTCTATAGTTTTAACCAATCATAATCTCAAAATAGGTTTATATTCAAAACCTTCCAAGCCTTAGAACAATATGTTCTGTAAATGATTTCTCAAATCATTTATTCCTCTTTAAATCCTCAACATAGGATATCATATCCCAAAACTGTTAAAACACAGTTTTTGCTTTAATCATTCCAAAACAAATTCAAACTTCAAAAATTCGAGCTATTTCCTTTAAAGTTGTTTAGAACAGTTTTACCAATTTCTTTTAAATTTCAAACCATCAATACTCAACAGTTTTCAAGATCAATCAGCAGATTAAAAACTCAGGGTTTGTAAACATATAGTAATTCAAAAACTCACCTTAAAATAATAGATTCTGCAGATTATCAAGCAGCAAATAACAAAATCTTTAAACAGCAATATTCTTCAAAAACATTTTTCAAGAACTCCTTCAAGAACACTTTCACCGCCTTTAAACACTCACTTTTTGTAAAAGGGCAAATTGCATGAAAAAGTAACGTACTTTAACTTGATTCCTATTTTGGGTAACGTACTTTCAAAACTTTCATTTTGGTACCTAAGATGTAAAGTTTTAAACATTTAAGTACCCGGGTAACTGGTTGAAGTATTAACCGATTATCATGTTGATGTGGCGAGTGATGTGGTATCCAACTCGGTATTATTTGCTGACGTGGTCAGTGACGTGGATTATCCGCTTGGTAAGTCTTTGACTATTTGAGTGGTTTATTTCTGTAATCGTACATCATTTGAACGGTGTTTGACTTTTTGATCGGTTTAAAATTTTGACTTTTGAGCGATTTGTTTTAGAAGGACTTTGTACGTACTTTGACTTGTTGACTTTGTTGACCTTGACATGTTGACTTGTTGACTTTTTATGTCCGATTTTCATTTTCGATTTTTGACTAAGTGTTGAAAACCTCCGATTTGAGATTTTTAAAACAAATTGAATTTTGTGCCTTATCCGTATTTCAATTTTAGTAATCCATATGAAATTAGTAAATTCTGGTTAAGAAATGAACTACTTGAGCTTGTCAATGCCAAAAGATTTCCGTCCAAGGCAAGAAAGTTCGTGCCTTTTCAGAGATTTTTGCAACTATTCATAAAGGCCATGATGAATGCCAACGAAGATATTCCGGCCAGACCTAATTCAGAAAAAGGGCCAACATTTATCATGACCAGAATTCGGCAGCATACAGAAGTAGAAGATTTGGATTCGATAATGCCAGTTCCACCAGAATTAATTGCTTTAGCTGATCAGAATGCTTAGTGCGTAATAGATTATAGAAGAGTRATAGATCCAATAGTTCAACCAGAACCGGTTGAACTTGCCCAAGGATCACCCCATGCCTCAGCTAAGAGAGAAGTAGAAATAGAAGAGAGAGTTCAGGAACAAGGGTTACTTGAACAGGGTAGTGTGATGAGAGAAAATGAAAGTGAGAGGGGTGAACAAGTGAGGGGAGCGTCTGATCAGCAACGGACTTTAAATTTCAGAACTTCCACAACTTCTTCAAGTTCGGAAGCTACTGAATCTGATAATCAGGCTGATTCTGGTGATGAACACAATGATGATGATGATGATGATGGAGCTGACGCTCAGAATGCTCCTGACCAAAATATTCCCGTTGGAACTTTTGTGGATGATATTGATACGATCTTTCCTGAATATTCAGCTCAGCAACCTTGTCCGAGTCTACGTTCTTTATCATTTAATGTTGACGAATGCGATAACTATGATCGTATTCTTCAAGGTTTATCAAATAAAGGAGGAGATGAGGGTGTTGAAGTTGAAAATGAAGAGAGGTTGAGAGAAAGGGAAGAAAAAGAATATGGAGAGGGTGAGAGTGGAGCAGAAAAAGAAGATCAAGCTCCTTCTCAAACTGAAATACTTAGCTGGGCAACCACATCTACTACTGACATTCATGTGTTGAATGTTGGTATTGAAGCAGACAAGCTAGCCCAGCTATGCAAATGCACACCTCTCCTATCCACTCAACTGGTTCTCAACAACCTATTGTTTCAATTTCACAAGGGGATATAGCACATATGCTAACTACTTCTCATTTGGAGAATGTAGTTATTGAAACAAGTAGGCCGCTGCCCTAGCCTACGACTTCGATTCTGTGCACCTCGAGTCTAGAGCCGATACACATAGGTACACATGAGTCAAGAGCATTTGTTGCTCAAGGTGCAGTTCTTAGTGAACTTTCCGGAATGATGGGAGTGATGTCTTTTGACATTTCACGAGGATAGGTTGGAAGTCCTACCAATGCTAACATCATGCCAACATTGAACGTAGGCACAACAGTTTATTCAACTGTTGTTACAACTGATATTCTAAGTGAATCAGGAGTTACTTTACCCGACTTTGTGTCAAGGGAATATCTGGACGCTGCCCTAAAGGTTGTTCAAGAAAATTTTGATGTTCAAATGGCTAGTCTCAAAAGAATTTTGAAGGAGAATGAGGTTATAGAAGAAGAGCCACCGTCTGTGCCATCACCACCAACTGTACCTGAACCATCTATACCAGATCAATCGGTGGATGAGCTAAAATCGTTGCTGTATGCCAAGTTGATGGCATCTCAGAATCCAGATGCTGAGGACGCAGATTTGGTTGGTCTCCTACGTCAACAATTAGACGTGAACCCCGTTATTCGAGCCTCRGAGTTTTTGGCTTTTCAAGATGTGATTAATGCTAATTTCTCTAAAGTTAGTAACTTAATCACATCCAATACCCAAGATCTAAAACGTTCAATGGATA